TGCCTGTGGGTTGATATACTTCCTATCTTTACCCCTTCGAGTTCGTGGTCCTTCAAAACACCATTTATTCTCTATTGATCGATTTTTCCAGTACTACAATTTCGGATACATTTCTTTTTTTCAAACTTTTGTATCGAATTATGTACCTATATTCACTAGAATTCACCCTGTGGTGTGCACAACTCGACTTGTCATTTGACCACTTTGTTGGTAACCATAGAGTGAATAAATGAGTGTCTCTAGCCATTAACCTAATTAACTTCGAGGATTTCAACCTGTAAGGCTGGTCAAATCCAATCCCTTAGGCAAGCCACGTCCTGGTTTGACTACCCAAATACCACCCACCCCAGCAAACATGGTGTTCTAAGGAAGCCCCTTCGGTAACACGTGCAAAATATGGTGGTCAATTGATTGAGTCACTGGTGCTTGGCCGCGGTGGTCTAATACTATTCACCTAACCCGGGTATTAGGTGATCAACCAGAATAGTGCAAAGTGGCATAGAAATCGGTGTTCTAACCCTTACATCTTCCTCAAGTACATGTCGTGTCTTGGGACCAATTAGAACCATCAACCAAGCTGCTGTAAAATCCACTCGACGTATCACGGATAGAAGGGTGTTGCAGCTGTGGTGAGTGTTCGAAGTTGATAAACACTAATCAAATCTTTTATATGTGATTCGAAAATTCATACGGAATTCAACTTTTCTTAGAGACAATTACCCGAGTAGCAAAACTTGTCTGATTCCTATGTGGTTTTTCCATTTACTATAAAGATTTGAACATGGATCAACGTGATATTGCAACAGAATTTTACAACTTGCTACTTATCCTTAATAATTTGTTTAATTTTCATTTCTGAAGATCAACAAACCGTGCCCCTCTGTAGAACCCAAGTAAACGTTATTGATGCTTTTAGTGTAAATGCTAACAGTTGCATCAGGGCTAATATTCATCTTAAAAATAATGTAACGAGCATAACATTTTGCTGATGATTTAAATTACCGGTTAAAGAATTTACCGCCCAGTTTCCACCTCAGAAGTTTGTTCAAACCATCAAACCTTACGGTCAGTGTCAACTGATCTTCCTAATAGCTCCGAAGAAATGTACCGGATTGTTATATAGATTAAATGTCTCCCGCATTCTAGGTTGGGGTTCAAAAGATTCTGCAAATGGTTGGTTAGAGACAATGAAGGATATGGCGACTAACCGACAGCAGTGACATTCTCGTCATTTCTTATCAGGCCTGAATGCATGAAAAGGTATGTATGCACAACTAGGTTGGATACTACTTCTATCTAATGGTCGCGCTGCCTCTCCAAAACTAAAAACAGTAAGGAGACACAAGGAATACTACTATCAAGTCCAAAACTCATCAATGGTCGCATACGTTTCCGCATTGATAAAAGAGGAAATAAGTGTCGACTCGTTCTATGCGCACCAACCCCTAAGCCACCAAACAGGAGTCATCTATGTGATCGTATTCAGGTGCTATGTAGAACTAAACTCAGACCAAATAACTGTGCTGTGGACATTGACAACATAGATCATACGACCAAAGCCCCTCGTGTCTCAAGGATTTGGGATAATAGAGTAGTATAATATTATAATAGTATAATAGAGGAAAGAGACAGAAGGGTTCTCTGAACGTATCCTGAATTGATTGGAAGAGCTTTGGAACGTGTATTACCGCAGGAGACAAACCAATCAGCTCAAACTAGGTGTAGTGCGTTCAATCGAAACGGTTGTTATTCGAATCCAGCACCCTGGATTTTGGAAACAATTATCCTTGCCTTAAAATTGTCATGGCCACAATATATAATATTATCAACCTTTGATCGGAAGATCAAGTTAGCTAACCAGTTTTGTCAACTGAATGCAGTTGGATAAGTCCCTTCCAACGAAGTCTTATAGCGAATCCTGACTCTATAGCTACTCTGATATATCGTATATTCGTGGGGAAGCTTCAGAATGAATAATCTAAAAGAAGTCTTCTTTTCAATTGATATTCTAAAGCACTTATTACGTTTAAATTATAGTTTCTTTTCATTCATGATCTCAGTTTAAATACATCTCACTTGAAGTGCCTCGAATTTTAAAAAAATAGGACTAATGATGATGCTGTGAGCCATTATTCTGTTCCATGAACTCCACTCACTTTTATTTAATCAGGGAGCTGTGGATAGATACACGACGATGTATTTTCATTCCAACCAAAGAGTATTTGTTACAGGTATCTGAGTAGACCGTTCCGATCGTATTTGTTTGTATTCGAATGCTCTCATCCCCAGTTCGACTTTAGTAGTTGGTAGTTATATTGTCACCCGGTTTGTACTCTGACACAGGCTATTTTCAGCATGCGTGTAAAAATGAGTTTAGTTGTAAATGCTTGCACTGTGGAGAGACATGTTCCGTTGTGTTGACATTTTGTTCTAACCACCCCTTTACTCACCGAGTCAGTGATGTTTTGCGGATATTGTCGAAACAACTCAGAACATGTTGGGCGCGTCTCACAGGAGGGCGCAGAATATAGACAGGATGTGTACTGCAATGGTGAACTATGGAACGACTCCACTAATTCCGTTTACTCATGTGGGATCATTTTTTCTCATCATAAGTGTGTTGCATCCAAAAAGGCTTTAAAACACAGTATCATTTGAAAATAACTCCAGACTCGTCAAGTGGGGATAATTGAAAAAACAAGTGTTTATGATCACTTGTTTAAGATACATGAGCTCACGATAACACGCTTCACAGAACCTATTGGTCTATAAGGAGCAAATTCCCTACTTAGCTGTATTAGGACCTAATCGAAGACTGGTGCACTTAGTGTCCAAAAACTGTGCCAAACGGCTAGTGTCACATCATGCCTAGCTGAGATGGAGCAAGCTGTTGAATACCAGTCCGAACAATTTGAGCAAATAGCGTGCGGAATTTGTAACCTGTCGTTTACAGCTTCAAATCATTAAAAATTTCGGAAAACGTGCACTGCTTATGGCAGTTTGATCGCCAAGTTTAGGCAGAATGCAAAAATATTAACTATGGCATAGACCTTGCATGACAACTAGAAAAAACCTTGCATTCTGTAGTACGCACCTAATGGGGTTTGACAGATATCGCCTTTAATATCGAATAAAACATTTAGGGAAGAACAATACCAGGCGAAGGTAAGATTGTTGGTTTTGGAATCGATGGTTTTGGCTTTCGGGAGGAAAATATTCTCGAGGCAACCCAGTGGAATAAAAGATAGATCACTTCACCTAATTTTGACTTATTGTGAACCAATTGGTAGTTTGATTATACTATTTTGGGTTGCTCGTCTGACTTGTCCTGGTTTCGTATTGGTGTCATGTTTCCTCTCCGGAAAAGGCTATCGTCATTTCGGTGGCATTGATTGGATTTCTAACTAGTTTGATTTGGAATCGCGTTTACCTTTGACCCTATCAGGTAGCTTTCAGGTAACGCATTACAAACTGATACGAGATGAAACATATGGTGTAAAAATTTCCCGGTCACCTCCGGTTACGTTGCTAATCAGTCCAGTTCGACCTTGAGCTTTGATACATATGTTGATTGATGATTATTGCACACCTGTTTGCGTGTGTGTGCTCTCATGACTCTCAAAGAGGAGCAAGAGATATTCAAAATTGTCAATGGATGCTGACTGAGTTCAGAACAATGACGCAGAGTCCAACCTGTGTTTTCCAATCGGGGATACAGTCTTATCGTGTTCGTTGGTTGATTGTCATCACACTGGCCTCTGTGAGTGGAATTAATGCGTACTTGTGGTTATCCATAGCCCCGGTGACCAATCACTTTGTGCAATTCTACGGCACATCCGAATCCACACTAAACTGGATTCAGCTCAGCTTCTCAGTAACCCTAGTTTTATTTGGTCCATTGGTCTGTGTGATTGTGGAATTATGGCATGCCCGTTCAGTGATTCTCTTCTCAGCTGTGCTCCATGCGATTTGCGGTTTGTTACGAGCGTTCAGCAGCGCATCCTTGCCTGTCAGCAAGGATTCAAGATTAATTCTCTTGGGTCTGGGACAGGTGATGGCTTCTCTGGCGGAGCCGTTCTGTCTATTTGCCCCGACCAAACTGGCCCTGACTTGGTTTCCGGATACTGAAAGAACAGTGGCTAACGGATTAGTGAATTTTGGAAATTTACTCGGAGGTATGCTGACCAATGCGCTCACTCCCGTGGTGGTTCATTCCAGTCACGATATACCCCGACAGAATTATACATGTCTCGGAATAGCGATGCTTATTTTGATATTATCATTGTCAACAATGAATTACAAAGTACCCCCAAAACCACCATCACAATCGGCTGCAGTAGTACAGAAGAAAATGAAAGAAGAGAACTACAGTCTGGCACGACAGCTCATCCAATTCTTTCTTTGGGCATGNTTGGGCATGGGATCCGTTGAAAATCCCCGGATTTTGGCTCCTGATGTTCTCGTTTGGGTTTTCAATCGGATACTTCACAGTGTTTAACACGTTGATAGAACAAATCATGTGCGCCAAAGGCTACGATAATAACTTTGCAGGCACAAGTGGATCTGTGATGATCGCCAGTGCTGCGGTGGGGACTATTTTGTCTGGTGTCTATGTGGACCGGAGTGGACTGCTTATCGAGGCACTCAAGGTTTGTTTCTTTCCGTTTTTCTTGTAGCCATCTCAACCTGGTTCATCTCATGTTAGTCAGTTTTATTTGGAGTCACATTTTCCTCGGCAGTTCTTAAGAACTGCAAAATGGGATGCACGCTGTAAGATTGATGTGCATTGCTCGCTGCATGTGAATATGTGCATGACCAGTGAACGTGAACCAGATTGAATGTACAGCAATGAGACAACCAGGACGGGTGGGGGGAGTTACAACGGCCTGCGAACACTGAGGCCACAGCAATCAAAACTGATGAGGGAACATCTTTTGCGGTGAATTGTGTCTTAAGATAAGTAACCCCTCGGAGGAAGCAAACAGACATCCCTTGTTGTGGGAAATACGTTTCTCAACAATATATTGTTCCTACGATGTTGCTTTTCAGCAAACTGTTTTCGTAATGTATGACCGTATTGTTCTTGTTGGTAATCAGCACCAGTGCATATTCACAGAGTCTGTTTGGAACTTGAACCCGTGCACGAAAGATTAGCAATCGGAGCAGCTCAAGTCGATGGAGCATGGGTTGTTTGTCCTAACCACTGCTGGAGACGTTTGTCGTTTACATTCCAGTTTCTTGGTAGTCATATCTTGTTTTTCTTGTATTGTGTCCTAATTTTTGATAAACTGGATGGAATATTTGTTTTTCGGGTGAGCCTACTCCATTTTTCCTGTTGGCCTATTAAGATTTTATGTGTTTGTAATGGCGTTTTCTTTACTAATTCAGTGTGCGAGTGATGCTGGCTTTGGTTTGCCATACACATATAACCCCGTCTTTTCTGATATTAAACTTGTAACTCGACTCATCAAGTGTTACTTCGCACGTAACATCATAACGAGCTCACCTGAGTTTTCTGATATTTTGCTATCTGTTTGTAGGGTTGAACTCTGCCCTGTAATCACCATATTTTAATCTTACTTAACGAAACTATTAGGACTGTAACTGAGTCTGAACATATAAACAGAAACTGATTTAACGTCGAATGAGGTGTATTAAATGTATGCATTATCTGTAACTGGTTTTCATCTATCCACCGAGCTTGTAAATTAGACTTCAAATACTTCAACGACAACCGAGTCTGCATTATCCATGGGGCAATTAATATTCGCCCTTCGTTGGTATTGGAACTTTTGAAATCTAATAGCCAAGCTCGGTAAGCAACTAAACACCAAATTATACTAAAGAACTACGGAAAGCCTAACTCAATGTCCCTGGTTACAATTCAATCATCAGGTGTTAAAGCTATCAAATGTGAATGAGTAGTTAGTGAAGAAAACATTGATTAAAGATGGCAAAAACTTGAGAACAGTGAAGGATTTGACTGGACTTTATGGTGAATTTTTTTGTATGCAGAGGGCGAACGAGGAGTAATGCTAAGAGACACTGTACGGTTGTCTCGACCTAATTAGATCTCATCAGCTGTGGGAAGGGGATCACGAAAATCTTCATTTGCCAGCTGCAAAACAATATATATCATTACAATATTTTTTGTTGTTAAGTGGTTTACATTTTAATTGCTATTTTTTGACACACAAAATGCTATTAATCGAATCTATCGCCAGTATGAAAGCGATTTCAGTGTTTGTTCCCGTATGCACATTTTTTAATTATTCAGGTATGTTGTCTACTATCCTCGCTTGGTTNTGTGGCCCTCTGGTTCCCCGGTCAGCAAGTTATTCTCCTCAGTTGCTTAGCTTGGCTGGGTGGCTTTGGTTTTGCTCAATACAGTCTGGCATTGGAAATGGCTGCAGAGGCCACTTTTCCCGTGCCCGAATCAATCACTACCGGACTTCTGGTCATGGCTAGCCAAATCACGGCCAGTGTGCTGCTACCCATCATGCAACGAGTTGCCCCGGTAGCCAAGCGAAATGCATGGTTCCAACCCGTTTGCGGCCGCAATAGTTTTCCTCAGGTGGGTAGTTGCGCATACATGCAAAGTATTTTTTTGCGATGAATTCAGTCATTGGAATCTGTTTTCAGTTAATTTAATGCTAAAACTCCATTCTGTGAGCTGAAGCCGGATTGGTGAGTTCTCGTCTATTCTCTCAGATAGAATTGAAGAACTCACGTTAAACAGGGTTTACCCGAAAGCCGAACAAAAACAAACACTGGAATCCCAGCGGGACATGCGTGTTTTACTTTTGAAGATAGCCACGATGTTAACTTCTGACTGCACCGCTATGGCGTCATAATGACTACCGCCATGTTTACTTTATTTTCTTCCAACTCATTTGGCTCACATACTTATCTTCAAAATCAAATCAAATGTTGAAATATTCTCAATGAAGAAAAACACGGCATTTTTTTAGTGGCACAAGTTACCCCGATTCAGTTCACAAAAGCGGCACTTTGCCCGTTCGGTGACTAAATCACAGTATCCTTGATGCAGATTGTAGGTGTGCTCGCAAAGTACCGTAAGTGACCTGCGGGTCACATTTTGGTTTGTTGCAGTCCGATTGTGTCCCCAGGTACTTCATAAACAGCTGCGGCCCCGGTGCCCTCTTGAAAATTGTTTGTACAATGGTTTCTTGAGAGTATAAAAAATACTATTAATATTAATAGTATTGTTATTATTCATTGATGCTGTTACTAACCTCCACCCGGATAGAACAAATCAAGCGGAATGGTCCACGTGGATGGATTCTCACCTTCCTGCTCAATGGAGCATTTATTTTATGGAATAATATTACAATGAATGTAAAGAATAAATTGAGTTCACGTGAAAGAGTGGCGAAACGTTGTTGTGTCTCGTTAAACTTGTTCAATTGAAACTCGCGGCCCCCAGATGGAAATTGCTTATTTTAACCAAGTTGTCCGTGTTTACTTCTGACTTCTCTTAAAAGAGTAATTTTGAGAACCGTATCGGAAATTCACCCGAACGAATACATTCCCGATAAAATTCGATCTTTGCTGTCCCACCGCGCTTTTGCAACGCAAAGTTAGTAAACAGTCCAGCTCTATTGTAATAGATTTGAGAAGTTGTCTTTTTAGAAACTTGAAACTTTAGGTCCACTTTATCCAATTCGTTAGAACCGATATAAGAGATATTAACGTTTTTTTAATTTCCTCAATCTCTACAACGCAAACAATCTGGCATCTATACAAGAAAGTGTTGATAACTACGGTGGTTCGACGGGCAATAGTTCGAGGAGAGGGAATCAGCTCCACGACAGTTTGATTGATTGCATCAGAAGCTTTTTTGCGCACAAGACTGGGTTACGTAAATTAATTAGTATCGCTAAGGCTAAGCAGAGTATGTTTCAGGAGATCAATGAAGTGTGAATCAAAACACAGGAATACACGAAAACGAGCTATTAAGCACTAGGAGAATTTCAAAGACTAGACGAGAAACCAAGAAACACAAAGATCAAAACTCTGGAAGTGTCTTTCGTAGGTAAAGATCACATTAAATCTAGCTAAAGACAAACTCCAAGATGTCATGCAATGTACAGCTGGGATAATTTGATCACGAACTTAAAGTGCAGCACAGTTTATTTCAAGGTTCTCATTTCGTGAGAGAATATGTTATATCATGTCATTAGGTGATGGTAGTAAACTAACAGCAAAAGGTAGGTGATTCTGAAGTTAGGATAAAATAAAATCACCGTGGAACTTGGTTTCTTCATTGTTATATTTAATCATTGCATTTTGCTATATTTTTATGAGCTGTGGATGCAACTATGCCTATATTTCGATCCAAATCTGTGTTCATCTTGACACTGGGATAAAAAGTGATGAAAATAACATACATAATAATTATAAGACTTGAACAAAACCCTTCTGTTATGTAGACTTAAAATCAGTTCGTTTAGGGTCTTCTTGTCAGTTAAAATACGAACCAAATAGCGTACTGTTGAATTACAATAAATGTTTATGAGGGATGCCAGGTAGCGATAATTGGATTGGGTTGTATCGCGGGAACGGTGAGCAGAGAGGTTGGGATTGAGCGATAGACCGGGGTCTCTAAGCTTCTTATGGGCGAATTTCGCACATGAAGTAACATAAAAATCACACAATTTTGTGATTAGTGTTTATGGGAATAAAAGGAAGACTGCTAATAATTACCAAACCACGGCGAAGAGTAATGAAATCTTTTTTAAGTAGGCCAGGAAAACGAACGGGTGAACAGTAAACTATGACAGGAAAAATGCACTGATTATTGAAAGATTTTGCAGCTGAATGCTTCACTCTAATTTGACGTAGCTTGTGTTTTCGGAAGAACAAGCGGCGCAGTCTAACGACACAGGCTAGCACATGGTAGGACCACCGTGGAGTACTGTGTACTGACTCACAGGTATTTGGTGGAATGTGTTCCGGCAATGAGTAGCGAGGTGATGATTGAGGGTTCCAAAGGATACTCAGACCGCGAAAGAAGAAAAAAGCATTTGAAACATTTAGAAATATTCAAGTGTAGACAGGAGTGATTCTAGAATACTTGCAATTGTAAGAAACTGTCAGAAAATAATTCCATGTCAGATTGGTTTGAAACGGCTTGACATCAGACCACATTATCAACATATTTCAAGGTCTGGGTCGTTAAGATAAAGGTCAAAACACTGATGAATATTGAAAATAAGTATGGAGAAAACACAGCATCCTGAGAGAATCCAGAATTATTAACTAAAGGTTTTGAAACAGTGCTGTCTGCTTTCGTTCTTTGAATCCTTCTTGTGAATAACTTTTCAATCACGACAATAAATTGAAGAAGCAACCAAATAACTGTAACTTTCAGATGAGAAGAGATCGTGGAACGAACTCAGAGGTGTAGAAATAATCAAGTAGGATACAACAAATGGAATTTCGTTAACCTTTTAGAGATTTAGTAAAAGAGGGCACCACTGCATTGACAGTGTACAACGTGAATCTATTTAGCTTATTCGCAAAATTAAAGGAGATTATTGAGGACTAAAAAAGACCACAAACAGGTGAAAATAGCGTACTCTGTTAGTTTGAGCTCAGTGGAAGTGATGACCACGGGACGAAAACCTTTGAATAGAATATGAGATGGTACGGAATGAGGAATGGGAACAATGATGAAAGATCTCCAAGTAAGATGAAATTCCACAACAAGGGAGACTGGGTCCATCGTGGATAAGCAGTCAGTGGTCCATGAAGGCAGATAATCATTGGATAGATAAATAAACGCAACATTGCAAGTCAAGTTGTCCCAATATCATATTAAGATGTCCTCGGATCATTTCAAGCTCTCGCATTAACCTCATCGGTACTGACAAGCATCCCAGCCATGTCTGAATGACCACCATGCAGCACCGATTTCTCTGCTTCCCGTTGAAGTGCGGGGGATGATTGTGGGACGGGCTTCGGTCACACGCCTCAATTCCCATGACATACATATCGGTTGTTTATCTTGCTAGTACGCGTATGCCTCTGTGTGTGTGTGTGTGTGTTTGTCCCCCTCCGCTGATACCAGTGAATCATGCGCGATCAACATTTGAGCCATTGCTAACCTCCATCGCATGATGCTGCAATTGAGTTCATAAGCTACACCTCAAGCGGCTGCACTGGGACACCAATAGATCAGGCTCGATCAATATACACATCAGTGTTGACCAGATTCACATCCAGTTTGTTTGACACTTTCAGGTCATAATCCATCTCTTTGATACCACCACAGAAGCACCTTTAGGCAGTGAAAAATCAAACTGACCATTTTGGTCATATTTTCGGAACAGAATGAGATATCTCTATCAAATAAACTGCATCAGAAATAACGTAATGAGGGTTGTCGAAGGATGTCATAACTTTCATAACAGTTACGGAATTTTATATGAAAATGCTTATTCACAAATTTGAATGTTTCCAAAATGCACTTTTCTGAGTTTTGGTTCTGAATTCGATTAATCTTTATCGCTGAAATCATATAGTGTTACTTAAACACTTCCATCACACAAAGTAAACCGGGTGAATATAGGTTAACCTATGACATTTACAAGTATTAAGTACAAACTGTCTTCGAACAATCTTATTGCCATTATCGC